TCTATCTGTGGCTCTACCATTGCCCTATTTGAAACTAAGCTTCACCTAGTATTGTTGACCTCTTGGGTAAGCTATCTAGACCACTAACACTCTTACTATTATCTTGATGGACGCTCTGACCCAAGTGGCAGACACTCTATCGGATTAGGCTTCGAGGTGACTTAGCTTTGGACTAACTTCGTTCGGGTTGGCACACACTCCGTCGGAGGTGACGGACACTCCGATAGGAACTAGGAGGTCTCGGGTTCTCTAGGTTGCTGAGGCTATAAATCAATAGACACTCCGTGAGATGTCATGGACGCTCCGCTGAGAACTGGGTGATCTCAGGTTGTGGGATTTTGGTCTATATAAACTGGCAAACACTCCACGTGAAACTACGAACTCTCCGGTGGCTCATGTCGACAGAAGATAAGGTTCTACTGGCTGCTCTTCTAGGGCTATCGGACACTGTGTCGATTTGACGGATGCTCCGTCAAATGATCGACAGAACCTATGCACTTGGGTGATCTTGGGTTTCAAACTTAAATGTGATCAGCTATGATCTATGCATGTGCAAGATACTTCTAGGATAGTTTAGGTGGCTTACTCGGCTTAAGATAGCTAGAGTTGAAGCTTGTTTTCTAAGTGTGGCTATAGGTTTAGGATCAAACTTAGAGATATAAGGATATGAGGATGAACCATAAGATTGAGATAAAATCCTTAGCTCTGAGATTTGAGAACTTCCGTAGCCAAAAAGTTGAAGATCCAAGCTTCCTTCACTCTTACTTCTTCATCCAAACTTGGCTTGGCTCCATATGAACTCCCTCTTGTAATCATTCCAAGAAGATGAATCAAAGGACAATCCATGGGGTTGTTGGGTGATTGAGCTAGGTAAGAACTTCTTGAGCTTACTTACATATGATGGAACCACCAGCAAGAAATCTTCAATCTTGCATCAAAATCTATGGATTAGATCCTTGGGTGAAAAATCCAAGAAATGAGGATGGTTCTTCTTAAACTCACCATGAAGGGGTTGAGGGGTGGAGGGTGTCGACGAAATCTAGTTAGCAGTCTATCGAGGGGTATGCCCACGGTAGTAGATGAATCGGGGGAGGTGCACATGAGGAAACCGGATGGTGACACAGAATGCAAGAGACAATAATTAGATAGGTTCGGGCCATCGGCTTGACGTAATACCCTATGTCATATGTCTTTGTGGATTGTATTGCGTATGATTCGATTTGATATATCGTCTAGGGGACCCCTGCCCCTCCTTATATACTCTGAAGGGGTAGGGTTACAAGGAAAATATCCTATTTAGTATTACAATATCTTCTTGTAGCCTTGTGGTGCATGCCGACCAGTGCCGTGCGCCGTACGCCTTGATCTTGTGGGCTAGGTCACCTCTGATGGTGTGGCCCATGTCTTGTCCTATGCATACCAGGGGTCATACCCCCACAGAGGGTGTCCATGGGCTGCTACTGATGCTTCCCTCCTTCCTTTCCCTCTTCTTCTTCAATCCCTTCTCCAATCTCTCCCCTCTCTTGCTTCAAGGGTTCTTGCTTGTTCTTGAGTGGGTAGAGAGAGAGAGCGAGTGTTACAAATGGGAGGATGAGTGAGAGAGAGTGGCTTCAGCTAAGAGATATATATCCTATTTCGTGCTGACGTGTAGGTCCCACACACTTAGGTGGCAAACAACTCATTCCCCATTTCCTGCTGCTGCACTGTGATCTACCGGATGGTCCGATTGGTCTGGCGGACTGTCCGGTAGATTATTGTCTTCGCTAACTGAGCTTAACTATTGGGTGGTTCGATATTGGAGGACCAAGTTGTTATGTCATAGCGTAATCTCTGGGGTTGAGTTGGTGTTGATGATGTCAATAGGATACCTCTTAATCCAATCGGGTTTCTCTCCATCGCTCTGGGTACGAGCTTGACCATGGCCATCTGGGGATGATTATAGGTTCCTTTTTGGTAGATTCTTGACGATTGATCTAGCTCAAGGCATCAGGGTTTGTACATGAGCTTGAACGACTATTCACTTGGATGGTCAAAATGACTGCCTATATTGTAACGAACTCGGGTCGTTACAATTTAACTACTCTATAATGATTAAAAAGTCCTGCTAGGCCTACAGACGGGACTTAGACTACAGAGAATCAATGAGAAATTGTCACACACATTGATCTACCAAGATCCAGAATGTAGGATGCATACACGGTCAAAACAATGTCTAAGCACCATGCTTACACATAGTTTGTTTACTCAACCCACACGAGTACTAAATTGAGCGCTCTGTGAACTTATATATAAACTCAAAGATAACTAAAACTATATCTTACATGTACTCGAAGTAAACTAGGAACATGATAAAGAGAAACACAATATCAATTAAGATCAAAGTCATAATAAGAAATAAAGGCTACATTGGCTATACCAAGTCTTTTAGAGAAAAATCCAGAACCCCAAGCAGTAGCCCGAATATACTTGAATCTTACTTAAGCTAACTATACTAAAACTAATGATGATAACTAGAGTTCTACTCTCTTCTTCTGAATTGGATCTCTGAATGAATCAGAGTGCCTTCCCGGAGGGGGTCTATGGGTCCTTTATAGGGGTGATAGAGTAGGGAGCAAGTAATCACCACGTCATCGATCCGCACCAATTCTTGCGTCCGCAGTGGGTCTAGGTGGGTCAACAGACCTACAGGTGGGGTTGCCCGACACCACCATGGCCCTTGTCCACATGGATCTTCATCTCTGGTCCATGAAAGATGGTTTAGGGCCCAGTAGAGTTGGTTTCGTCGTGATTGGATTTGATCCTTTGTGATAGTATAGCCCATTTAAGCCTATTTTCTAGATAAATCCTCCTGTACTCACAAAATCACAAAAACTTATAGAAATAGTTAATTTAAACCACTACACCTATGTTGGTGATTGACTGTAAGAGTAAAATAAAGGTAATTGACGGTTTATAATCATCAATATTGATCGTCAACACTATGGTTTTGGAAAAAAGGGAAAACAAATGAAACGATGGATATGCATGAATCTCTAGGCTTAGCCAAAGAAAGCACTAGAGACATGATGATTTGAGCAAACATGTAGTGGTATGGAATAAACAAAAGCATAACTCCGGAGGTGCCTCACGGTAGGGTCTCACATACCTTAATTGATTTCATCATCACTCACAATTTGAGACAGGATTGTGAGTGTTTTTGTTCCATCACATAATGATTTTGTTTTCTTTTTTACGACGATCTTCTCTTTTTTTTGTCGACCTTCTCTCTTTTTTACGATGAGCTTAATCTACAACATAAAAATTAGTTTAAGGCGCTTATGTTACGGCCGTTCCGTCGCATGCGGATAGATTTTCGTGCACGGGGAACAGGGATCACGCAAGAGCCGGTAAGGGCACGTACAATGGGCGTGCTCGTCTCTAGATGGAAGTTTTGCAAAATCCCCCCTGGTTCGCTACAGTAATGGTGAGAGAGGGGAAAGCTGTCGCGTCATGAGATGATGGCAAGCGATCCTGCTCCCGGATGAACTCGATGGCTGGCTTCGCATTGTATGGTGCCATCGTCTTGAGCCGAGTCGTGCGGATCCGGTTGCGCCCTCGCGAGAAGAGAACAAATCGTGCCAAAAATCTTCACTAGCGCGCGCACGAAGGGCGAGCGACGAGCAGGCGACGCTGGCACCGGGGCAGAGACGCACCGAAGCAGGGTGGGGCGGAGCAGAGCCGCACCAGAGTAGGGTGGGACGAGCAGGGCGCTGGCATCTGTGAGGAAGAGCGGGGCCGCGCCGACGAGGCAGGGTGCATCCTGACGAGGCAAGCACATCTCATCTCTCGAATCCTCTCGCCTACTTTGCCAATCAGGATAGTTGGCAGCCTCGCCAGAATCCGGCTGGGAAGACGCCGTTGTAGTGTGTGCGCTGTGTCGCCCTCAGCCCAACTCTGTCTGTCTCCGTCGTAATGATGTACTACTCTGTGGCATCTGTGAGTATCACATGAAGAACACAAAAACGGATGAGAAGATCAGATGGTTATGGGACCTTATGTAAAGCCTCACATCATCAGATTTAAGATACCCCCAATAAACAATGTAATTCGTTTTGCTTGAATCTAGTATGCTTCGGTGTTGGCTGTGTTTATTAGATAATCAGAAGGAATGTGAAAACTAAATGTTTCTGTTTAGCTACTTAAAACTGATAACTGAATGCACATATTTTGTAATTCTATTTTTCAGTTACCTTCTTGTCACTTGATTTTGATTCTTGTCCACTGTCTACGCAATGTTTCCTATGTGAACCTGTCATATTTGATTTATGATTTATGAAATATATTATATTATATTATATTATATTATATTATATTATATTATATTATATTATATTATATTATATTATATTATATTATATTATATTATATTATATTATATTATATTATATTATATATATTATTTACTTTTAAGGATTTGTTTTGCACTAAGTAGCAATATAATGGTATATAGAAATGATATTCATGATTGATCATGGCTATATGTAAAATATTAAATGATTTGTAGACTACTGAATAGGTAACAGCTGTCTGTGGATTATACAAGCTATTTGTTTGACGGTTTGTGTCTTAAATTTTAAGAACCTATAGACATCAACTATCTCTTTCTTTGTTGTACGTGCCCTCCCTTGGCCGCCCTTCAGCGCCGGGCCGGCAGAAAAACAATTTAACGGTCCATAACAGTCTATTAGCACCTAACATTATACCAGCTCTTAGCAGCTAGAGCCGAAGCTGTTTGAAAGGAGGCGGAGCCCTGTTAAAACACACATGCGCTGGTTGACGCTTCTTTTGCTGCTTCGTCCCCGCCATTAAACCGCACCGCCCGGTGACGGCACAACCCAATTCTCGTCCGGTCTCCCCTCTGCTGCAACCTCAGCAGCGCGTCCGTTTCACGTGCCCCCTCCTTCCTCCCTTTCCCCTGTCCCCACGCCACCTCCGTTCGCCGCCGCCCGGCCGCGCCGGCGATGGCGACGACGGAGGGGCTTGTGCCCATTACGCGGACCTACCTCGCGCGCTACTACGACATGTACCCGCTGCCCCCGCTGCCCGACGCCACCACGGACCTCGCCGCCCGGCTTCGCGCCCTCTCCGCCGACCTCGCCGCCGTTGCTCCCATCGCCCCAGGTGAGCCCGCCCTTGCTAAATTTCACCCGCGATCCGCTTCGCATAGTGTCGATCTGGCAATTAGTTCGATTCGTTTGCTCGGATTGCTAAAAGCAGCTAAATATTGCTTTTCTTAATAATAATTATAAAAGGATGTCTATCTTGGCGAAGCAAAAGGATGTGAGGGTAAGCTGCTCATAGATGTTTTTTAGTTTTTTCTTTTTTTTTGAAAGAAGAATTTTCTCTGCTTTTAAGAAAGAAAATGTTCGATAGAATACAAGGTTTGGGACTCCAGCTTACAAGACAGATCTTAAACGAAAACTAAAGCTAAACTTCATTCGAGTGATGCTGTCTAAGATGCTAAGATGCTGTCCTCTAGATGCTAGTCTAAGATGCTGTCCTAGATGCTAATCCTAGATGCTAAGATGCTGTTCTAGCCAGTCAAGGATACTGTCCTTGTGGCAGCAACAGCTAACAGCCAGCAGTCCCACAGTCCTTGTGGCAGCAGTACAGCAACAGCTAGCAGCCCCACAAAGACCAGACCAGCCAACACAACACAGAGACTTATCCATCACAACATGGCGTGCCTCCTGACCACCTCCTCTTATTTTTTCCTTTCTATTTTGGTATTCTTCAGTTCAATGGATTACCTGATGAATGGTTTGAGAAGAAGGCTTTTCATGCTAAAACAGTCAACAAGCTGTGATGCTACAACTATTGTTTAATGAGTTTATTTATTATTTGTGTGACCAATTCCTTTTCCTTCATTCCATGTAGTATGGCTATTTCACATGTTCACATCCACCTGCTGCTATACATGTACAAGTGGTCACAACTTGGTTAAAGTTGTGGCTTGATTGATCACTATTGTTGCCGCTCTTTGTTTTCATTTGGAAGCAAAACTGCTTATGATGTCGTGCCACCCTTATGGTTACATGGTTGAAGTTGTGCCTCCTTTTGCTGGTCAGTTTTAACCTGCCTACTGAACCTTGTTGAAACCACATTCTTTTCTTTCTTGAAACATGGAGAGCTGTGTATCATTGCATTCAAAAGAAGGAGAGTACAACACACCCACACACAAATATTGCTTAGTTATATTCATGCCTGTTACAGACAACACTTGGCCACCACTTCTAAATGTGCTAATCCCTTAGCGGCAGCAAGGCACCAGAGATGAGCCTCCTCAAGGTTAGTTTAATCACTAGCTGAATGTTGGGATTGGCTCCATTGAACACACAGTTATTATGAAAACATCCGCAACATCTAGGCCCCCAAAGTAATTAGTGAATTCAACCATCACTTCACTTCCCTGGGGAAGAAAATGATAATTCTTATCCACGAATCAAAGAAGCCCTTGTCACCAGGGAAAGGCAAGACGTCTGGTAATCTGTACGGTGAAAGAGGAGTAGCCATATTGTTCTAGAGAACCCACAGCTGGACAATATATGATAAATGGTCTCATCCTCCTGTTCACATAGGAGATGTTGCATTAGATGGGATAATCCTCTGCGAGCCAATCTGTCTGCCGTCCAACATCTGTTATAAGCAAACAACCAAAGGGGGGGGGGGAGCCATTTCTTTGATGCCCAGGTCTTCTAAATTAATTCCTAAGGCTCAAATGTCACCGACCCAATAAACGTGATCTGTATGCAGACATAGATGAGTACATACCAGATTGAGTAAAGCGCAACTGGTGAACATGCACATCAGGTTGTAGTTCCACCTCTGTAACTAGGTTTCTCAATTCCAAATATTCAGCAAGCGCAGAAACTGTCAAAGCACCCTGAATGTCCGAAATCCAAAAATTCTGATCCAAAGCTTCAGGCATTGTATGCCTCTTTGCTTGCCTCTTAGTGACCAATGGAATAGCCTTGGTTCAAGATCAATCCCTAAACTCGTGATACCATGAAAGCAGGAAGGATTGCGTATAATGCGTGCAATGTATTGCATGGAGCCCTTGGGCGGTATAAATAGAATACAAGACATGGGGAGCAAGACACCTTCCCGATACATAGGGCAATAGGGGATTACAATATCCTAACTATTAAATATGCTCTAACACTTCTTGTGCTTTCACCAAATGCTTGTGACCTTCCCAGCAAAATGCTCAATTTAGGAGATGAGTTTGCCATACATTGATGGCATTTGATATTTTGGTTGGTAGAATTGTATTCTTATTGCCCATTTTCATCTTATTGCTATAGCTGAATCCTGGAAATATGTAAAGTGTTCTCATAGGTTGTGTGCACTTGGTGAAAACTGTAAGCATGTGTTTGGTTTGAGGGTTGAAGGGGACTGGGTTGGGTTGAACCCATTTTCCAAGATGTTTAGTTTTAGGACCAAGAGGGTTGGGTTCAACCCAAAAGGGATGATTCCATCAATATGCGGGTTCGTTCGATTCCTTCAAAATGGAGAAACCAATCCAACCCACTTCGTCTTCCTTAGCGTGTAGGCAGACCCTCGAGGGCGTGGAGTTTTGGGGATGTGGCGCTTGACGGCTCCGCGGGCGACCTCGGGGGGTGGATCTTTGGGCGGTGCTTGGGGGCGTGCTCGGGGCGTAGCGGTGGCGGTGGAGCTCCTGCGTGAGGGGCGCGTGCAGCACCGGGAGCGGGGTGGCATTGGGTGTGAAGCTTACGCAGGGAGAAGAAAGAGGATGTGGATGACCATGGGGCCTATATGTTAGGGGGTCCTCAACCCACATCCATTTGCCTTCAAACCACAAATAGAAAATCTAGAACAAACTTGGCCCTCTAACCAAACGTGAGATGGGTTCAACCCAACCCAAAAAAGTGGGATGGAACCAACACATTCCACTTGGTTCCCAAACCAAACACACGCTAAGCTTTTTGGAACTATGTGAAAAGTGGAATTGCCAAGGTTTTTAAGTTTTATCTGGATCACAAAGTATACAACGACAATAGGTATATTCTTTGAGTTTTACCTGTTTACGCCAGAAAAAGTAATTTTGTTGATAGTCACCTATAATCTACGAAGTATATTCAATTTCTTAAGGTATTGAGCTACTATGTAACCAAACATTTACTGATGGGAAAATAAGGTTTGCCAGAAGATATAATGGAAAGTGCAAAAATGCTCATATGCTTTTCAATTTTGACAACACAAACAAATGAAGAAAATGCATGACAAGAAAAGCTGAAGACAAATACTTATTTTATGAAAAATAAGTAGACTGCTGGGAGCAGGAATTTCGCACACACTCTTTGACCTACATTTTTAGATTGTACACTTCTGGCAGTATGAGTAAGCAAAGGCAACTCTCGAGCTGGTAAAATACACCAGTGGCCCCTAAACTTGTATAAGGGTGTCATCTAGGCCCTAGACTATTAACCTGCAGTTTAATGTCCCTAAACTTACTAAGCTCACATGAGCTCCAAAACCTAAGATTGGGCCTTGGCTGCTGATGTGGAATTGTGGATGCTCACAAGACATGAACCGGAAAGAGAGCATGCAAGGAGATGATGTTAAGGGATGATATGTTTGTAGATTAACACTAATCATAAAGGTTTGGACCTTCGGTGAGCCACATAACAAGTTTAGGAACGTGAAACTTGCTGGAGCATAAGTGAATTGCCCACCTCTCTCCACCAGCTTAAGCTTTCGGGTTGAAATGGTTGATGCATGCAACTCATTAAAACTGCATATTAATAGTTCCTCTGACAGGTTTAGGGGCCGCTTGTATGTTTCACTATTTAAATACTGTGCCATGTCGTTTGAGGAAAACATGTTTTTGATATAATTGTTTCATCAATCTTGCATTTGGAAAGATGAGGAACTCTTAGAACAAGAAGCGGCTGGCATACCTGCCCACAAAATCGATGAGAATTTGTGGAAGAACCGAGAACAAATAGAAGAAATTCTGTTCTTGATCAATACATCCCGTCGTCCTGTGGCAGTAAGTTTAGCTTTGTATCTATATAAATCTGAGTATGAGTTTTGCCTGTTGGAGGTCAACATTTGTCATCTACATGCAAGCAGCTTCAACAGAAGTCCACCCCAGAAGATGCTGAGATAGTTTGTACACTTGATGATATAGAAGCTAAATTGAAGGATATGCTGAAGAAGTTAGAACAATTTCAGTTGCAAAATGCTGACAATGTTTTCAATACAGGTTGATTTTTTTTTACTTTGTTTTTTCTTTTCCAGTGATGCAATTCATTAATAGCAAAAAATTTAAATTTCCATTGATGAATCTTAATACTTATATTGTGACCAAGCCACTGAATACTGCATACTATTAAGCGCTCGATATTTTTGTGCTGATTCTCATTTGAGTTACAGTATACATGATTTGGATATCTTCTGATAAATTGCTGATCTGGCACATTATTTATGCAATGCATTTTATGATTCTATTAGACATGTATTGTAGACATGTACAGTCCTATGTACGTTGTATCTGGACATGATGTAATCCAAGCCCTATTGGGCTATATATATGAAAGGTCACCCCCCCTAAGAGGGTGTGTGGTGTTTCCCTATCTCTCTACATGGTATCAATCACAATCCGATCCTAACCTTCCGCTTCTGTTCTTTCCTCTCGTCCACGCGATCATCGCGACTTCCCCGCGGTCGCGCGACTCCTTCCACGCGCGTGAAGCCCTCACGCTCGTACACCCACCCCGGTGGCGCTCTCCCTCCCAGGCGGCTCCCTCCCGATGGCCACCTCTCCCTCCCTCGGCACCAGCACCGTGCCAGCCACCGGTGACGGCTCCATGCCTGTCCTCGGCGCGAGCACCTTGCCAGCCACCGGCAGTGGCACCATGGGTGCCATCGGCGCCGGTCTGGCCGCGTCGTCGCCGCTGATCGTGGCTCATCCCTTCGCCATGGTCAACGTCAAAGCCCACGTCCCGATCACGTTGGAGCTCACCTTCAACTACTTGAAATGGGCGTTCTTCTTCAAGTCACTGTGCGGCAAATTCGGCCTTCGATCGCACATCGACGGCTCTGCTCCTCAACAACCCGATGAACCCTAGTGGGACGCCGCGGAGTGCTGCGTTTGCGGCTAGCTCTCCGGCTCTGTCGATGACTCCGTCCTCGACCTCGCCATGGACAACGCCGATCCCACCGCCCGCGATCTGTGGGTGGCCATCGAGGGTATCTTCCACACCAACAGGGAGCCGCGTGCCATCTTCCTCTTCAACGAGTTCCACTCCATGGTGCAGGATGACTCCACCATCTCGGCGTACTGCCAGCGCCTGAAGATCAAGGCCACCGCCCTCCGCGACGTCGGCCACCCCGTGGAGGACTCGCAGCTCGTCCTCGCCCTCCTACGTGGCCTCAACCCTCGCTTCTCTAACACTGCCGACGACATCGCCAACTCCGCTATTCTTCCCACGTTTGCTAGAGCCCACGACATGTTGGTTCTCAAGGAGCTTAGCCTGGTCAACGACAAGAAGATCATCACCAACACCGCCCTCCTCGCGGCCGGCTCTGGCTGCACCAGCTCGGGCGGGTGCCACTCCACTGCTGCGGCCTCCTCTAGTGGCCACAGCAACAACACCGACGGCTACGATGGCGGGGCACCGTGGACACAAAGGCGGCGGTGGCGGCAAGGGCAAGGGCAAGCGGGCCTAGAACGGCGGCCCTGCCCAGTCGTGTGGTGGTGCTGCTGGTGCACAGCAGGCCGGTCCCATGGGTCCCTGGCTCTGCTATAACCCATGGGCACCCCAATGCCCCCTCCGGTTCAGCAGCAGGGGTATTGGTGCCCTGGGGTCCTCGGCGCGCCCCCTCAGGCCCACACGGCGTTCGCACCGGTGCCGCCTCCCACGACCTTCGCACCGCTTCAGGTCTCCCAGCCGGCTCCTATGTGGAACCAGGCTAGCCTCGTCGCCGCGCTCAACCGGATGAATCTCCAGGATCAGCATCCCTGGGTGATGGACTCCGGTGCTTCTTCTCACATGAGCTCCTCGGATGGTATACTCCTTTCCCGCCATCCTTCCTCTCATTCTTCCATTACCGTTGGCAATGGTCAAACTATTCCTATCTCCTGTCGTGGCGAGTCTATCCTTCACACACCCGAGTCAAATTTTCCCCTTCATAATGATTTAGTTATTCCATCCCTAGTGCACAACCTGCTCTCAGTTCGTTAGTTCACTAGAGATAACAACTGTTCTATCGAATTTGACGTTCTTGGTTTTTCTGTCAAGGATATCCCGACTAGGCGCGTGGTGCTTCGCTGCAATAGTGCTGGTGATCTTTACACCATCCCCGCTACACCTCCTGCTCCACACGCTAGCATCGCCATCTCCACAGACCTCTAGCATCACCGTCTTGGTCATCCCAGCTCCGCCACTATAAATATTCTTCTTCATAGTGCATCTATCGGTTGTAATAAAGTAGAGCATACTCTATGTCACTCATGTCAGCTTGGCAAACATGTGCGACTTCCTTTTTCAAATTCCCGTTCATTTAGCTCTATGCCTTTTGAACTCGTTCATTGTGATGTGTGGACATCCCTGTTGCCAGTATTTTGGGTTTCCAATATTACCTTGTTTTACTCGATGAATTTACACATTTTTGTTGGACTTTTCCCCTCGTTCCCAAGTCTGAGGTTGCAGCACATATCACAAATTTGTGCTACTATGTATCCACACAGTTCAGTCTCGCCATCAAAGCCATCCAGGCTGACAATGGCACCGAGTTTGTAAACAATACCCTCCAAACTCTATTTGCCTCTCGTGGTATTCATTTACGCCTCTCGTGTCCATACACTTCCCCACAAAATGGCAAGGCCTAACACATTCTTCGCACATTGAACAACATAAGCCGCACCATGCTCATCCATGCGCACATGCCTGCACCTTACTGGGCTGAGGCACTCGCCATAGCCACGTACTTGCTGAACCGGCGCCCTTTCTCCACCATTCACAATGCTGTCCCGTATGCTCTACTCTACAACAAGCCACCCGAGTACTCCCACCTTCGTGTCTTCGGGTGTCTCTGCTACCCTAATTTGACCGCCACGGCTCCCCACAAGCTCGCCCCCTGTTCCACAGCTTGTGTCTTTCTCGGCTACCCATCTTCTCATAAGGGGTATCGCTGTCTCGATCAATCGACACAACGCATCATCATCTCACGCCACGTTGTTTTTGACGAGACTTGTTTTCCCTTTGGGCTTGACACCTCCGGGTCCTCGCACAGCGACCTGGATTTCTTGCTTGCGGGTACTACCGCGGCTGCTCCGTCACATACCGACGTTGAGCAACCGCGCCCTACTCAGGTGATTATTGAGGAGCTGCAGGACGACCCCACGATCCTTCTTCGCGGGCCTCTGGTGTCTGCTGCCCCTACTCGGTCTGTGGTGGTTGCACCGCCACCACTAGCAGCCGCTCCTCCTCCACCAGACAGGGACTTCCGTCTGACATACAGTCGGCGTCCCTAGGCACCTCCGGCGCCCCTAGCGGTCCAGCCACCTCTCGAGCAGGCTGCTGCAGCGCCGGCACCTACACCAGCAGCGCCATCACCGCCGGCTGCAGCAGCACCGTAGGCACCGCCGGCTGCAGCAACAGCCCCTGTACCAGCACCCCGGATGATCACCCGGTCGCAGACCGGCACTCTTCGTCAGGTTCAGCGCTACGACTTCTCCGCCACCCACTCCGTCATCTCGCCGGTACCGGCGAATTACCGGAGTACCTTGGCCGACCCTCAGTGGAGGGCTGCTATGGCTGACGAGTACAAGGCGCTTGTTGCGCCTTGTCCCTCGTCCTCCCGGCGCCAACATTGTGACGGGCAAGTGGATTTTTAAACACAAATTCCACTCGGATGGTTCCCTTGCCCGCCACAAGGTATGTTGGGTGGTTCGCGGCTTCTCTCAGCGCCACGGCATCGACTACGATGAAACATTCAGCCCCGTCGTGAAGCCTGCCACGATACGTGTCGTCCTCAGCCTTGCTGCTTCGCATTCCTAGCCGATCCACCAACTTGATGTGAAGAATGCCTTCCTTCACGACATCTGGAGGAGACTGTGTACTGCTAGCAGCCTCCTGGCTTCGTCGATCCTGCACGCCCTGATGGTGTTTGTCTTCTGCAGCGTTCTCTGTATGGCCTGAAACAGGCTCCTCGGGCGTGGTACCAGCGGTTCGCCGCCCATCTCCGCCTACTCGGCTTTGTCGCATCCGTCTCCGACACATCCCTTTTTGTGCTCAAAGAGAGGGACGCTATCGCCTACCTGCTGCTGTACGTCGACGACATCATCCTTACGACGTCCTTGCCCGACCTGCTACAGCGCATCATGGCGCGTCTCCACTCCGAGTTCGCCATGACCGACCTCGGCGATTTGCACCACTTCCTTGGCATCTCCGTCACGCGTTCGCCGGTCCGAGTTCGCCATGACCGACCTCGGCGATTTGCACCACTTCCTTGGCATCTCCGTCACGCGTTCGCCGGAGGCCTTGTTCCTCTCCCAGCGCCAGTACGCTGTGGATCTACTTCAGCGGGCGGGCATGGCCGAGTGTCACTCCACCTCGACTCCAGTTGACACTCGTGCCAAGCGTCGACCCTTCCCAGTACCGCAGCATTGCTGGCGCTCTACAGTCCGCGAGTCTCATCTCGCGTTGATCAAGCGCATCCTCCGCTACGTGAAGGGCACTTTGTCCACCGGCCTCCGCCTCAGCTCCGGGCCGGTTGACTCCCTCAGCGCGTACTCCGACGCAGACTGGGCGGGCTGTCCAAACTCCAGGTGCTCTATGTCCGGCTACTGTGTCTTCCTTGGCGACAATCTGGTCTCTTGGTCTTCGAAGCGCCAGACGACGGTGTCCCGTTCCAATGCTAAGGCTGAGTACCGCGCAGTTGCGCATGTCCTCGCCGAGTGTTGTTTGCTTCGTCAACTTCTCCAAGAGCTCCATGCACCTATTGCTTCTGCGACCGTCGTGTACTGCGACAATGTTAGTGCTGTCTATATGATTGCTAATCCTGTCCACCATCGTCGCACGAAGCATATCGAGATCGACATTCACTTCGTCTGCGACAAGGTTGCCTTGGGACAAGTCCCCACGACACATCAGCTTGCAGACATCATGACCAAAGGCTTACCTGTACAGCTGTTCACTGACTTTAGGTCCAGTCGTTGCGTCCGAGATCCTCCTGCTGCGACTGCGGCCGGGTATTAGA